TTATTTTAAAACGCCACAAGTGAGGGGTGCCTACGTGGCTCAGTCATTAAGCGTCTGCCTTCGGCTCAGGTCATGATTCCAGGGTCCTGGGATCGAGCCCCGCGTCGGGCTCGCTGCTCCGCGGGAAGCCTGCTTCTCCCTCTCCCACTCCCCCTGCTTGTGTTCCCTCTCTCGCTGTGTCTCTGTCTTATAATAAATAAATAAATCTTAAAAAAAAAAGCCACAAGTGATTCTGATATGTATCTTTTGGTGTGAATAAGAGCTTTCAATTGTTGCTAAATTAACATTCTGTGTAAAAAACATCCAATTATTACATTGCTCTCCTGCCCAGAAAGTTTGGTTGCCATTTATTCGTATGTTAATTCATACTTTTCTGCTTGGCATTGGCCTTCTCCCCTTCCATCCAGCTCCCCCGCTTCCCCAACAGTGCTCATCACGGATGCTCAAAACTTCCCGGCTCATACCTGCCTCTACGCTCTCACTTGTGGTTCTTCCTTTGCTACCTGTAAAGATGGATCCTGTCTTTGATGATGATTCCAACTCGAGGGTCATCTCTTTCACGGGTATTTTCTTGGCAGGTTCTCTGTTCCCTGAATTTCTACATCATTTACAGTCTATACCATAATGAATTATGTCAGGGGATGTATCTTATCATATACCACTGGCTTATTGTGTTAACCTTGAAGAACCATCTAGAATAAAGAACGAGTTAGAGAGTAGGAACCATGTCTTTTACATTTGTCTTCCGCAGCACCTAACGTAATCACTGGTATGTTGCTTCCTGCAAGAAGTCCTCCATGTCCCACATTTGGGTTAGATGTTTCTCCGCTCATGCCTGTGACATCGTGCTGTATCCCAGTTACATTGGAAGTGCATTCCAACTCTGCATTGCAAGTGTGTTCTTATCTGTGCATCTTTTGCAGACTGTAAACTGTGAAAGCAGGGCCCCCATTTACCTGGTTCTAGCACTTAGTACAGGTCTTGGTATGTAGTATGTAGTATGTGCTCAATACATATTTTTTAAACTGACTAATTAATGATTTTAAACTCTGTGTTTGGTTGAGACTGTGACAAATAGAACAAAGAGCATCCATTGCATCATAACATTTTGATTGACTTGATTTCAGGTATAAGAAATTAACATAATCTGAACATAATGAACCCGATAACTAGCATTTGGTTGCATACTCAACTATATCATTTTCTAATTATTACCTAAATGTGGTTTCTTGTCTATAAAATTCAAGCTCCTGGAGAGAGAAGGATAGCATTTGTTACTTCCATGTATCTCCCACAGTTCCTACCTCAGTGTTTCTTGATTTGAGGTCATTAAATGTAGTTTTTAAAAGAGCCTGTGTTATAATGTATCTGCCTGGTAAGAAACATCTGCTACTCCCTAACAAGTGCTGCATTCATTTTAATGGCCCTGGTGCACAGAGGTAAACAGAGCCTTGGCAGGCCTTCCGTAAAGGAAGCTGTGTTTGCTTCCTTCATTAATTACTAATGGAGCATTAAGAAGACATGCATTCTCCCCTAAGCCAAGTTGGATAATTCCTGGCACTTAAGGCTAGGGTGCTTTTAAAAGTTGAGACATGTATTGACACACCAGAGAGCATGCCCTATAGCAAACACAGTGGTGAATGCATTGCCAAGATTGTACAAAGTTTCAAATGTATCAATACCAAGGGCGCTGATCTGTCTGTTTAACCTTTTGCACGTCTTGGGTTAATGTGGGGTAATAAATAGGAATCCCTTGAACGTCTCTGAAGGCAGGCACCACAGGAGGAATTGGAAAATCCATCAGAAAGATACAGAAAGTTACAAATAGAAGGATGATCAAAGATTTACCCAGCAAAACAACAGAATGAAGAGCAGCAAGGCTAATGGGAGAAATAGGATTTGTCAATTACGTTTTTTTACTCAATAGCCAATTAATAGCACAATTAAAATGAAGAATTTATACTCTCGAACATGGCAACTCTCATATTATCAAAATGCTAAAGCAAAAACATCGAGGAATAAGAGGTTGAGAGACTTATTGGTAGTAATAGATTTTAACACATAACCATCAAATTAAGATAGGATTAAACCATCAGACTGTGATAGATATAAAATTACATCTTATTTTAAATGTTCACATGGACATTTTCCAAAAATAATACCTTTTTTAATGCAGAAATTTTGCAGGCTACTCACTCCCATCACAAAGCAATGAAATATAATATAAATGTAAATGAAACAACCCAGCCACTTGATGATATCTATGTTTTGGGGGCTAGAGAAATTTGAAATTGAAGGACGTACAATTATCCTTTTAAGGATTAACTTTAATCTGACGTAATAAATTAAGACAGGATGATACAAGGTCATTTCAAAGACAGTGTGAATCCCAGGACACTAAGATCTAACCATGATCCTACTGAATATATTAATATTTCCAAAGGAAAAAAATGTGTTGCTCCAAAGGGGAGCTGGTTCAGTCAAAAACGCCAAAAAAGCAGGTGTCAGAGCAATAACCTTGACACATCTCATCCAGGGGAGAAGGGTGCCTCATCCAGCTGGGCTTAAATAATATAACCTATTGGCAAGATGTCCCGTGGAGGTGGACGTGTGGCTATTGTACGAGACGAGTGCTCTAACCCTTGAGCTATGGAGCCTTCTCCTGGAAGTGTGGCTATCATAGCCTGATTTTGACTCTAAATTCATGCCCACCAACCGAGGCACCTTTTGATTTTGATTTGTCCCTTCATGTATAAGATGTACCTTTTGCGTTAAGAGAGCTATGTCCCAATACAATTACTAGATAGGAATTCATTCCAAGAAATAGTCTGCTATAGTGCTGATAGAGTAAGCTTCCTGAACAGGAAAGATAGGATCACTTCACTAATGCTGGTGGGATAATTGGTTAATTATTTTACATGCACTAAAAAAGAAAGAAAAAGAAAGAAAGAAAGAAAGAAAGAGGAAGAAAGAAAGAAAGAAAGAAAGAGAAAAAGAAAGAGAAAAAGAAAAAGAAAGAAAGAAATAGAAAAACTAAAATATCCAAATGTTGGTAGTACTCCTGAAAAGGTAACAATTTTATAAATTTATTTTTTTAATTTTTTATTTTTTTAAAGATTTTGTTTATTTATTTGACAGAGAGAGAGACACAGCGAGAGAGGGAACACAAGCAGGGGGAGTGGGAGAGGGAGAGCAGGCTTCCCGCCGAGCAGGGAGCCCGATGTGGGGCTCCATCCCAGGACCCTGGGATCATGACCTGAGCCGAAGGCAGATGCTTAACGACTGAGCCACCCAGGCGCCACCCAATTTTATAAATTTAAAAAGACAAGAAGAAATCACAAAGGAGAATAACAAGAGCATATCTGACTACATAAATATTAAAAACTTACGGTTGCAAAATATTGCTATAATAACCAGAATTCGGAGTCAGAGGAAATGGGTACGTGGTTGCAGGAGATGTAACAGCCAAAGTCTTGTTATCTTTACTATGTAAAGTGTTCATGCAAATTGATAAGAGAAATGATTAAAATTCCAAGAGCATAAACAGACAATTTGCATAAAGAAATTAAAGCTGGTACGGGGCACCTGGGTGATTCAGTCGGTTAAGCATCTACCTTCGGCTCAGGTCATGATCCCCGACTCCTGGGATTGAGCCCTACGTCAGGCTCCCTGCTCAGCCGGGAGTCTGCTTCTCCCTGTCACTCTCCCTCTGTGCTTTCCCTCTCTCTCCAATAAATAAATAAAATCTTAAAAAAAAAGAAATTAAAGCTAGTAAATAAACACATGGAAATATATTTGACTGAGCTGGTAATCAAGGACTTTAAAAATAAGACAGTAATTTTTCCAAACACCTTTTAAATTAGCAAGGAAAACAAAAATTATTTTTATAAAACCCAATGCTGGTAGAGATATTATAAAAATGGTATTCTCATATTTTGTTGACCTTATTTTATAAATTGGTACCTCCTTTTCCAGGTTGGAAAACAGCGTGGCAATATAATATAAAGACCTATAAAAATATTTATGGTCTTTGACCCAGTAATTTGACTTCTGGGAATCTATCCTGAGAAATATTAATCCAAAATATGGAAAAAATTAAATTCCTAAGAGTAAATTGGGAAACACTAAATGCCCCACAATAGGGGAATGATTAATATGTTGTGGTACAGCCACTGGATAGAAAAACAACATAGCCATTTGTAATTATGTGAGGAGAGACCACGCAGCCACATGGGCAGATGCTTGTGCTTTAATATTAAATAAACATGAATAAACACTTAAGTATAAAGAGATATGCAGAAGAGAAAGGATTGAAGAAAATATACCAAATTTTAAGTTGTTGTTCTGAGTGGCGGAGGACAGTAACTTTTTTCTTTCTTTCTTTTTTTCTTTTAAGATTTTATTTATTTATCTGACAGAGAGAGAGAGAGAGCACAAGTAGGGGGAATGGGAGAGGGAGAAGCAGGCTTCCGCTCAACAGGGAGCCCGATGTGGGGCTCAATGGGGGGCTTGATGCGGGGCTCGATCCCAGGACACTGGGACCATGACCTGAGCTGAAGGCAGACGGTTAACGACTGAGCCATCCAGGTGCCCCTTTTCTTTCTTTTTCTGGAAATGTGTTGTCTTTCAGCCTGTTCCCATGCCTGGCAGCAGTTGCCTCCCTGTCTCTTCCTCTACCCTGCCCCCAAGTGCCACTCAAGTTCCAGCTCATCCCAGAAGCCCTCCCCATCCTATCAGCCAAATGAAACTCTCCCTTCACCGTGCTCCCATGATGCTGTATTAACATTTCTATTAGGTCTCGTATCTAATGCCTTGTGTGGAAATGGTGCGTGTGGGGGCATGTGTCTGTTTCCACAACTAAAGTTTTAAGCCCTAAAGGGCGGGAACTATTGGATTTCTTATTCTCTTTCCACAGTATAGGTCACAGTGCTTTGCCTGAGTACGTATTAGTTGAAATGAATTTAATTGCACTGAAGTGAACTACTCTGATTCCCTGGCAGGTGGAGCCCATGAAGGTCTTCAGCACTTGGGTCCTTTTGGCAACATCCCAAACATTGTGGCAGAGTTGACTGGTGACAACATTCCTAAGGACTTTAGTGAAGATCAGGGCTACCCGGACCCTCCAAATCCCTGTCCGGCTGGAAAAACAGGTAATGGGCATGCCCTTGGGTTCTCATGGATGGTAGAGTCTTTGGGAGGAAATCTGCTACAAGTATTCTGAGAAATAGTATTTTTATCCTAATGACCCCCCCTATGTTTTGTAGGTAGATCTAATTTATTATAGAACCCTTGGTGTGTTCTCGTGGTCAGATATACCCACATAAGACTCCCTTGCCGAAGCTTTACCTTCAGTCTCTCTCCCTCTTTAGGAATTGATGCTTTTTTCTGCACTTGCTACTCTTTTAATAAAAACGGGGAAAGATTTTCTTCTTTTTGCCTTTTCTGTGATACAGCTGCTGCCCACTTTTAGTGTCTTTGGAACTTACTAGTTTTTGTATTATCCATGTCCACTGTTTTTCCTTACTTCCTTTGACAATCGACATTTTATCCGTGTCACAAACAACATCAATCCTGAGATATTTCCTTGGGGTCAGGAGGTGGCATGAGAGACAGTGAGTCCAGGAAAATAAGAAGTTGGTTAAGGGAGAAACTTGAAACTTTCCTTTGCTTCTCGTATCTCCCTTCCATTTTCCTACTCCTTGATGCCAAAGAGAATGAATGGTGAGTGGACTACCCTTAGGGTGGGCCTTGAGCAGCTAACCTTGGTGGTTAGGAGTAGTGGCTTTAAACTCAGACTACCTGAATTCAAAACCAAGGTCAAGATATGTGACCTTGCACAAGCTAATTAACCAGTTTGCACCTCAGTTTCCTCATTGGCAAAATGGGAGTTGTTGTGGGAATTAAATGAAATTATCGGGCGCCTGGGTGGCTCAGATGGTTAAGCGTCTGCCTTCGGCTCAGGTCATGATCCCAGGGTCCTGGGATCGAGTTCCGCATCAGGCTCCCTGCTCCTTGGGAGCCTGCTTCTCCCTCTGCTTCTCTCTCTCTCTCTCTCTCCCTCCCTCTCTCTCTCTCCCTCTGTCTCTCATGAATAAATAAATAAAATCTTTAAAAAAAATAAAATAAAATAAATGAAATTATCCACGTTAAGCACTCAGTGCAATGCCTCACACAAAGTAAAGATTCATTAAATGGCATCCTGATTAGAATTATTTTTTGCTGCTAGTAAATAACGCATCACTCTCGTTGAGCTTGTGTTAACTTCTAGCACCAGAATAGTCTTTTTCTCCAAGCCTACAATAACAATAGTTGGTATTTATTACCCCTACTTTGCATGTATGGAAACTGAAGCTTAGGCCATAGCTTGTCCAAGCTTATCTACTTAGCAAGTAGCGGAGCCAAGACTCAAACCCAGGTCTACCTGATTCAGGACGGTGTGCTCAACCACTGTGGCGTCTTGCTCTGAAAATTGTGACAGTATTCGCCCCTCAGATTTTTTTTTTTTAAAGGTTTTATTTATTTGATAGAGAGAGACACAGCGAGAGAGGGAACACAAGCAGGGGGAGTGGGAGAGGGAGAAGCAGGCTTCCTGCTGAGCAGGGAGCCTGATGCAGGGCTCGATCCCAGGACCCTGGGATCATGACCTGAGCTGAAAGCAGACGCTTAACGACTAAGCCACCCAGGCGCTCCGGCCCCTCAGATTTTCTTAAACACAATGCAGGCTTTCTCTGAAAGAAGCTTTCCCTGAAAGATACTCCTCCTTTCATTTAGGGTAGGTGTCTGTTTTCTATGGGGCACAGAGCCTCTGGAGCAACCAGAGTAGTTGGATGTAACCTAGTAAATGGAGAAATACTGGGCCGGCTGCTGGAAAACCTGAATCACTGCACAGAGCCAATCACTGCAGCCACATTTTACGTGCTTGTAGGGTTTTGAATGGGTGGGAGGAAAGACCAGTCCAGAATTTGAAGAGCAAAAGTCTCCATGGGGAGTTGGTTAAACTGATTAGATATAATACGATACAGTAGTTCTTGAAGTGTGGTCCCAGGTTGGTCCCAGGTTTCCGGCAGCATCAGTATCACCTGGAAACTTGTGGGAAATGCAAATTTTCAGGCTCTCCCCTAGACCCACTGAGTCAGAAACTCCTGGGGTAGGTCCCAGAGACCTGCCTTCCATGCGATTCTGGCACATACTGAAGTTTGAGAACCACTGTTTGTAGGAGATTGGACGGAGTTTGAGCCAAGAGATCTGAGGTCTAGTCCTAACTATAGTATGTCAGTCTACTTCCCTGTGCCTCAGTTTCTTCATCAGTAAAATGAAGACATAGTCAGTGCCTTCAAAAACATAAATGCAGTTCTAGGCTGTCCTAGGAAAGGAAAGAGTCCAGATCCGTGTAATCAAGCACTAGTTTTATGCACACAGGAGTTCTGAGACAGGGCAGTCCAGGAGGGCTGATACAGCTGGGTCAAATGACAACTCCCAGACTCTTCCTTGTCACACACTGTCTGCCATTTTTCTTTGCTATCCGGCCACTAAGCAAACATGTTTCTCACTCTATGTTCTACCATTATTTTCACTCTAGAAAGGAAATCGTTGGCAAAATTTAGACATTATTTGTTTAGAGATTGCTTGAGATATGCCTCAATGAGAATCATGACACCGCACAGTTGAGCAATCCAAGAATAAAACCTTGGCTTCCCCCCCCCGCCATGCTCTCTTCTGAATCGTGGTCCAGCCACCCTGGATAGAGCAGCGGATCACAGAGAGCAGCACATCCTCAGGCATAGGATGCGAATCCCAGGGCACGTTTTCAGGCCCTGAGATACTGCCGTTCCCAGAGCAGGGCTGTATCTCTACATTGCAGTCCGGGCCCACTCGGAAGTCCTGGAGAAACAATTATGAACAGGTTGTTAAGCTGCCCTATGCAGACTGCCTGAACTCTCTGGATTGGCTGTCTCTTTCTTACATGGTAATTGCTGTAGATGAAGAAATTAGATAAGCAGTTTCGTGAAAAGTGGGGAGCCACGTTAGGGGTTTGGTCAAACCTAATGACTCCACACGAGCTTCCCCCTGTGAAGACACTGGATGCTTCAGGCTGCTGGAAGGCTTCAGAGCAGGCTCAAGAGACCGAACTATCTGGCTGGGTTCTTGTGGACTCCTTTTGGCATTGACTTTGAGGCCTCATTATCCCTTTGCAAAAGGACTCTCTCCTCTCTCCCCAGCCCCATGCAAAATTCACACCCCCTCCTCTGCCGCCCACCCTTTGAAGCTATTGTCTAAAAGCACATTAGAGACAGAAAAAAGGGACTTAATTTCAGAGCCTCACCTCCTGTAATGATAGGGCTTAGGTCAAAGCAGCAGCCAAGTGGGATAACCATTCTTGGGTTTGACTGAAAGACAAGCTTATTTCAAAGAGTTGTCAGAGTATCAGCTGTCATTTAAAAAGAGATGCTGGGAAAGGAACTAAAGCAGAGTGAACCTATTATGTGCGAGGTGTTCTGTGTGTGATCATCTCTTTCTCACCGCTACCCAGTCAGGTAAGTCCTTGATTCTGCCCCTCTCGTAGATGGATGGGTTTAGAGAGACAGAGTTAATCTTCCCGAGGAATTAAGACCATCTGTCACTTACGAGCTAGGACGGGAACCCTGAGTGCTGGTCCGTCTGACTCCAAGCTGCCGCCATCACCACAATAACACACCTCAATACTGTCTGGTGATGTTGTCATTCTTATATAAGGGGCCTTCTCCAAGAAGCTGAAATTGTTTCTATGGAAGCTCGCCCAAGAGAAAACACCATGAGTCATGTGGAACGGAAGTATACTAGTTAAGGAACAATTTGCTCTTATAACAGATAAAAATGATAGTGGTAACACAATATAAGGTTATTTATCGCTCACGTGAGGTCCTGCCAGAGGTGGGTGAGGGTGTGGCAGGGGTGGGTGGTTCAGCCACCCAAAGTGCCATCTTTCCTCTTGACCTGCGACAGTCCCAGTTGCCCTGATTGGCAGCATGTAGCAGGCAGAGCAGCCGATGGCGTGGAGGGCGGGCGGGAGCGGGGATCATATTGGAGGTTTCTATGGGCCAGGCCTGGAAATGGAATACATCACTTGTGCCCACATTCCACTGGCACAAACTCAGCCATATGACTCCACCTGATTGAAGGGCAAGGCTGGGAAATTAGCTGTGTGCCGAGGGGGCAAGGGAAGTGGGTTTGGCGAGTAGCCAGCCAGTCTCTGCCACAGGTGGGAGGAGGAGTGAGAGCTTGGGACTAGCAGATTCCAGAGTGACTGATGTGGACAGATGCTTACCTTGGGATTTCCGGTTGTTTTGGAATAAATTCACTCTTAGAATAACAATAGATGCCTGGGCCGTTCCTCAAAAGCCTTTTGCTGTTTGCAGTAGATGACGGATGTCTAGAGAACACCCCCGACACAGCAGAGTTCAGTCGAGAATTCCAGTTGCACCAGCACCTCTTTGATCCAGAACACGACTATCCAGGCTTGGGCAAGTGGGTAAGTCCAATCTTAATGACTAGTAGATCTTACACTCTGATACTCTGAAGGTACTGATGGCAGGGACGAGCAATGCGGGTGGGGTGAGAGAAGAAAAATTGCTTGGAAGCTGATTTTTCAGGAATCTCTGGTTGAGAGGGAATTCAAGTAATTACCAAACCACATGCATGTCTAGGATGCAAGATACCAACCCATCCCAAGAGTCAGTGACCTAAACCCGTCTCAGCAACTGAAGTCTCTAGAGACTTCAATTCTGGTCTCCTCCACAGCCTGTGTCATAACACATACTGACGTCTTGCCAGGGTTTCACAAAGGTCATATAGGAAGTATATGGGCTGTTTTTTGTTGTTGTTGTTGTTGTTGTTGTTTTTATTTTTTGGTAAAAGATACTGAAAAGATTTGCAAATTATCTCTCTAGACTGAGGGAGATGATCTCTGTGGGACCAAGGAAAAATGATGTCAGAAACTTAGAAACAGGGGCGCCTGGGTGGCTCAGTCCATTGAGCGTCCGACTCTTGGTTTTGGCTCAGGTCGTGATCTCAAGGTGGTGAGATTGAGCCCTGCATCAGGCTCTGCACTCAGCGTGGAGTCTGCTTGAGATTCTCTGCCTCTCCCACTCATGCTCTCTCTTTCTCTTTCTAAAATACGTAAATCTTAAAAAAAAAAAAAAGAAGTTTAGAAACAGACATATGTAATTCTACTCTATGGAAAGAGAAGCAAAATTCCAAAATGTGGAGCAGTGAACTTGCTGTCAGTACAAGGCAAGAATCTCTGTCCATTAAAGAAATTGTAGGCACTTGGAAAGAGAAATCACCACCATTTGGCATATGTTTGTTAAAAACAAGTTTTGTCAATCTGACTATACTCTTCTACTTGCTAGTGTTATTCATTTTACTTGTCAGCTTGATGAGGGAAATGGAGTGACAATTGGTGCATTTGGACCTCAGCAAAGTACTTGATGAGCTCTTTCATGATCTCCTCTTGGAATAAGTGGGGAGATGCAGCCTCGGCAAGAGAACCTCACCAAAAGGGAGCTTGTGAAAAAGTCCATGGCCATAGGGAGAGAGACCTACATGGTATCCTGCATGTCTTGGCGCTCTCCCACTCCACATCTTTAGAAATGTTTATAATAGAAAATATAGGACACGTACTTATCAGCTTCTCAAAAGATGACACAAAGTTAGAAGGGAGAGCACTGAATGACAAGAGTCGGGACTCAAGAAGATCCCAACAGGCTCGGACAATGAGTCAAAGAAGGTCACAACTGAATGGGCATATAGCTATGCCTCTGTGGTCGGGTCTATGTAATCAAATGCAAAAGCCCCGCGAGAAAAGTGAGAAAGTACTAAGAAGTGTTAATTCATGTGTAAGTAGCTGGTCAGTACATCTGTGGCATGAGTGAATGAGCAGATATTCCTGCCTAAGCCTTTCTAGAGTTATCGGTCCCTGCTTGGTTCATTGCTGGCAGCTGACGTTGCTTCCATCATTACTAGGGCCATCGTAGTCTTAGGACTAAAATCTCTCCCTTTCTTTTAGACTGTTTTAGAGAGAGATGCCTCTCCTCATGAATCACCACTTTCATTTTTCCATTACCTTGCTTTAACATTGCATTGAATTGATTCCCTCTACCCTTGACGTGGACACATTTCCCATCTTAAAACACCACAGCAGCTTTAATTTTGCTTCCTCCAAAATGCATTAATTCTATTTCTCTTCTTTTTCATAAGTGGTTCTGTTAGGAAGACTTGGTTTATGGAGCCATTCTGAAGCCTCTAGCAGAATTTAAACATGTTGAATTCCATAGGCAAACATCTATAGGTTCTGGAATAGGAGACTGAACTCATGAAAGTCTTCTATAAAAGAGGTTATTCTGGTGGCATATGGAAGGACGGAATAGAGAAAACAGGCTAAGGGCAAGAAAAAAATATATGAAGTAATTCCAGTTATGAAGGCCACGAATATAGTGGATTCAAGTGAACCTCACCAATGTGATGAGAACCTATGACATTTCAAAGGCAGCTGGGGAGCTGACTAGAACTGGTATATGGAGTAAATATAGCATGAGGAGGAAAGAAGAGCTATGCCAAGTTTACGGGAAATGACATAACTTTTCCTCTGAGGGAAGTTTTTAAAGGATGTGGAGTGAAGAAGGGCGGGAGGTAGGAGGGGAAAAAGGGGAGCAGAGAAGGTGGGAAGGAGTAGGAGGTTACAGAGGAGCCCTGGGAAGGGCTCCACAACAGAGGGGCAAAGTGTTGCCAAAGAAAAGCAAAGGCCAGGGTCAGCAAAGAACAAGTGGAAGATACGGAGCCTGCTTCGTTCCAGGCGCTGTGCTAGGTGCTTGATCTACAATTGTCTTCCAGACATGGGATGGGTCATCCATGAGCTTACCACTTCGTGGTTGAGATGAAATGCATGAAAACACAATGAATCCAACGTAGCGCTGTCCAGCTTCATATTCTAGCTATCCCGTGAGCACCACGGCAAAGAGGGAAGAGAAGGGGAGAAGAATACCCAAGATGGAGGCCTTGCACCGCCAACTGAACAATGGCCCTCGAGGAAGTTGAAGGTACCCTGAAGAACTGGTAGGCTGGAAATGAGCAAAAGGAAGCAGGAGAGAGACTGAGGGCAGAGAGCCCTTTTGAGGAAGCAAGAAAGATGGAAACTTCTCTCTTGGGAACTTTCCTTGCCTCTTCTTGAAAACCTGGACAGATTACTATTACAGATCAATGACCAGGAACAATGTGTACACACCTTTTATCATTTGTAATTATGTGTTTATTTAAACTTAAGTTTCTCTCGTTTATTTTCCCGTTACCGCCTGGCAGTGAAACATGATTTGCTTGATCTTTTTTTTCTTTTAAGAATTTATTTATTTGTCAGGGAGAGAGAGAGCGAGAGAGCACAAGCAGGGGGAGCAGCAGAGGGAGAGGGAGAAGCAGGCTCCCAGCTGAGCAAGGAGCCTGATGCAGACCTTGATCCCAGGACCCTGGGATCATCACCTGAGCCGAAGGCAGATGCTTAACCGACTAGGTGCCCCGATTTGCTTGATCTTCACATGGAAGTGTGAATTGAGTACAGTAGTCTTCCTTATCCGAGGGGAATTTGTTCCAAGACCCCCCATGATTCCTGAAATTGCAGATAGTACCAAACCCTATGTATACTGTTTTTTCCTATACATACATGATAAAGTTGAATTTATAAATTAGGCAGAGTAGGAAATTAACAACAGTAATTAATAATAAAATAGAGCAATTATCACAAGATACTGTAATAAAAGTTATATGAATGTGGTCTCTCTCTCTCAAAATATCTTTATTGCACCCATACTACCCTTCTTATGATGAGATGAAGTGAGGTGAATAATGTAGGCATTGTGATGTAATAGTAAGTGACCATATGTCAGAAGGAGGATCATCTGCTTCCAGACTGTGGTTGACCACCAGTAACTTAAAACCATGGAAAGCAGAATCTCGGATAAAGGGGAACTGCTGTATGTCTTGCTTTTCTATGCTGGGGTTGAGAGGCCTTCCTCCCTGTTTATAGAGAATGATCGTCTCAAGCCTCTCCTAAGCTCAGCTGGATTGTAAGTTAACAAAGTAATGGTCTTGCACAAGAGAATGGCACACAACACCGTGATTCCTTATATGCTAATAACATTTGCCTGTTTTTGACATTAGCTGGAGCTCAGCTAGGTCTTTAGCAGTGATTCATATATTATAAATATCAGCGTCTGTCTTGTTTCCTGCATTACTTTCTCTTTGTTAACGCATCAAGACACATTTGTTAAATGCACATCACATGCCCTCCAGGCCTTCTGTTAGATGACAGGAATGAAGATGAAGAGTAATAGTCATTGTATTTTATTATATGGTAGTAAATAGTAATATTTATTGAGCACCTACTGTGTGCCAGACATTGTGCTAAAAACTGTATGTGAATTATCTCATTCGATCTGCCCATCCTGATCACTCCCATTTTACAGATGAGAAAATCCAGACTTAGGGGGTGTTGGGTAGCCTACCCAACACCACAGAGCTGATGATCAGCAGAGCTGGGATTTGAACTGGACCATCTGACTCCAGGAGTTCTTTAAAAACAGATTCCTTATCGTTTCATGGCTCATGACTCATAATGCGTCCTATACAGGGGTCTCATCGAGTCCTGTCTAGGACTGGCTGCCTTTTGGACAGTGTGTGTGCTCCCAGCATCGAGTGGCTATATCCACAGGCTGGCCACTGTAGGTATCAGTCGCCCCCTCCTTCACACAGTAATTGCTCACTGCTACTGAGGAAAAAGTTCTCTCGAAAAGCAAATGTTTCTCTTTTCCAAGTGCTTTTCATATCTTTTCATCAGCCCGTTGGGGTGAGTAGGGTCTCTTTCTTCCCCGGAAGCAGCTGATCACAGCCAGAGCCTGAGCCAAGAAAGAAATGGGGCAACAAGGACCCTCTCTGCCTTTCTTTGTCTTTCAGGACCTCAACTCCGCTAAAGAGTCACTTGGGGTTTGCCTCACGTTTCCATGTGATTAGCCTTGAGTTATGCCTTTCTGAGATGTTCCTCTTACTGTTGACATCAGGACACATGTGATGCCACTTTGTCCCAGATTTGGTAGTGACCTGGTCTAAGTGATGTCGCCAGGTTTCTCAAGTGTAAAATTACTGTTTTTTTCCCTTTGAAATTAATAATCCGTGGGGAGATACTTTCAGACTGTATACATGTTCTGTCCCCATTGAACTTGAGCCAACAATTTTAGTCTGCTTTGATGATACTCTCCAGAATCAATGATAACTATGGTAGTTGTCAAATGGTGATTTTCAACTCTCTTACTCATTCTACATTTATTGACTGGCATTCTACTCTAAGCAAGGGTCTCCCCTCTTCCCCCATTTATTCATTTATGTATTTAAAAACTGGTTTCTTTCTTATAACTATGGATTTGTAGATTCCTATTATTCCTTATTTTGGTGTTCAAACTGTCCTAGATTTAGCCCAGTGGGAGTCTCCAAGCTGCCTTCTCTGTCCTTTTGACATGACTCACCACTTTCTGAGCACGTTCCTACTTTATGGCACAATTAGATATTCCAGCTTCATTGATCCTCGTACTTTCCCTGCCCTGGCCCTGGAATCAGACATTCTCCGAGAAGTCTCCCTGGTTCCATTTAGGAATGGAATTTGAAACCAAGATCTGGGCAGTTGTCCAAAATCTTGATGGCACAATGGAAAGTCCTTTTTGTGAACTTGAACCTGCTACTCACATGGAAAACAGGCTCACCACTCCCCCATCCCCACCCCATCTACAAGGAATGGGTGTCAGGGGAGGGGGTTGCTTTCTTCTGGTTCCTTTCGTATACTTCTCTTACCCACCCTGTACCTAACAATCCTTGCCTTTAAATCCATTCAATAGCAGAGCTAGTCAGGAATGCACCAGCCCCTTTCATGAAGGTGTGGGAAAGCATCATCCGGCTAATCCTAACCCTGGGTCTTAGACAAACCCAGGGACCATCTCTGAGAGGAAGACTTGCTAGACTTTTTGCACTTCTTTTTGAACGAAGCCTGTTCATTGGTATCATCTGCCCCACAACCTTCTAAAGGAGACGAAGGACAATGATGCTGCCTTCACCCTGCTGGTGGCGCAGTGGAGCTCTGCCGTGGCGGAGGGGCTGCCCCACCCATCCTTCAGGCTCCAGGCCCCGTGCCCTCCCACCCGCTCAGTCAGCAGACCCTGACGATGCACATGAAGAGCCTCTGTCCTGGCCCCCCATCTCCCAACCCCCTTCCCCGGCGTCGGCACAAGCTCCCAGACGTTCTCTGCCCAACAAGAGTTGTTACATCCACGGAGAGGCAACTACAGACGACAAGAATGAGCCTTACGGCAATGTGCTCATTCTTCGAGGGTGTGATCTGCACGTCTGCCTTTCCTCCCTTACAATATTAGAATGACCAGTTCCCCAAGTGAGCGGGGGGCTGAGGCTGCGGCCAGTACTGGCCTTTGCAGCAGCGGAGGCCCCTTCACTCCCCAGCGCTGGTCTCCCTGCATAGTTGAGGTTGGGCAAGAGATACGCATTGTAAATTGCGGGTGGGGTAGATTTTAATGAACATGAAAATTATGAAGCTCATTCTTGGCATTTGTCATTTTCATTTCCAAATCTACCATTAAAAAAAAAAAGTCTCTAATCCAAACAGTTCAGAGGACAAAAGCGTTGTATAAACTTGTTCCTTAACAGAACTGTCATCTCTTAAAAAAAAAAAAAAAAGTGTCAGTATATTTTATTTAGAGTAAGATGAATCATCTCTTTTATACATTATTTCCCTTCTGATGAAAAAAAAAAAACCAACACAAATATGTCCCCCCAATGCCCCTTCTCCCGTTCTGCCTTCAGATTAAGTGTTCTGTCTTTTATAATCTCAGTAGAAGAGAAATCTGCAGAGCATGTGTCTGATATTCTAGAGCTCATTTAAGTCCACTATGTGTTTGAAATACAGCAATATGTGGAAACACTTATACAAACTGTGGTAACAGAGCCCGTTTTTTTTTTTCCCCCAACATAGCTTTCCTTCTGCCAAGAAGTTTTTGGCAGTTTTTAAAAGGTTCACTCTATTAAAAATGTTATAGACCAAATGGTTTTCCGATTGTCTTGACTGGGGGCACACACTGACTGAAGCCACAGGAGGAAAGGTCGCATAAGTCAGAAGGTCTCGTTTATTGACATAGAGGATTGTTATTAATAGTCAGACACTCCTCTAGAGAACAGTTTATGTGTAAAGCTCATAAAAAGGGAGTTGGGTACAAAAGTAAAACGAGATAAAACTGTTTGTTTTAAACAAAGGCTGTTCAAAGTGAGGAGCGGAGTTTCCAGTGCCCCGTGTGTTTTAGAATGTCGTATTTTCCTGTTTATATGATTGTTGGTGACACTGGGGTGCCTCGGGGCATTGCAGAGAACTTTATTAAAAGCTACACAACCACCAGCTTTTCTCTTGTGGTCTATCTTTCTGACACGACATTCCTTTCATCTAGCTTTGTTGCCAAAATATGCGTATGCAAATATCCAGGGGGACACACCAAGTATTGCTTCTAAAATAGACGCTCACCAAATTTGATCCATACTTGTGCATTTGTGTTTTCTTTTTCTCCCCATTCTAGAACAAGAAACTCCTTTATGAGAAGATGAAGGGAGGACAGACACGAAGGCGGAGGGTAACGTGTGGTGGGTTGGGCTGTTGGTGGGACGCCTGGAGCTTTCTGAGTGTAACTCACCCTCCGTTGTCAGAAAATAGCTGAAGCCTCTCTTGTGCCGTCCTGGGAGGGCACGCCTGGGGTCTTGGGGAACAAGGGCCATGCCGTTGGCTCCTGTGATGGCTTGCCCACGATTTAGCGCATGGCTCTTAGCGGAGCCCCCCTTGGTGGAGATCCAGCCACCTCCACTGCATTCGCGAAATGTGGATTGCATTCCTGCTCTGGGTGTGGGAATTCAGGGAGCACAGGAGGGTGTCTTTACTCAGAGGAGCTCTAGGCCACTGGGGGCAACTGCTCACACATTTGCACCAATTATATAAAAACACAAGACAGGAACAAGGAAGTGCTTGCTGAACTGCAAGCTCCAGGCAGTAATTTTGAAGGAATGTAGGGGTAAAAGATGAGATGACCAAACCTCATTCCTCCTACATACCTTTTCCTTCGCCTAGCCAACATGATGTACAGTCCACTAGATCTGTTATATTTGTCTGCTGGCGGGTGAATTTGCTGGCAGGCTTAGGTATTTGCCATCTCAGGGCGGCCCAGGGTGGCACATTGGTCAGGGAGTCGTGCATGGAGCCGCTGTGGTGTTGCCTCTTGTAAAGCTGAATGTCAAGTTTGCTCTGAGTTTCCAGTGCATTTTATGGCCCTGAGGCTGAATCAGTGATCAGTGTTTGTTCTGATAATCCGTGGGTGCCCTCGTGGACAGAAGTGCCTGGCCCCCTGCCTTCTTTTTCTGATCAGGTGGAGGAGAAAGTTCAAGTCCTGTTCTTCCGCAGCATAGTGCTGCCAGAGAGTAACCACGTTAGTTAGATACACAAACCAAACCGTATACCCAAAGCCACTGACTGTTTATTTAGAACGGCAAGTGCCTGGATCCTGGCAACATCTGGGAATCTGGACAGTGGTAGTTGCGGCCGGCCTGCATGGTTCTGCCAAATCTGGTCAGGGTGCTTGAGGAGGTGTCGATTTTCTGGATGCAGCATTAATTGACGGGCCCCCGCAACAGAAAGTTCCAAGCCCCTGTGCTGCCTAACAAGATACAAATGACGCGTGGCCAGTTTTCTATTGAGAAGCAAAGTTGTCTGGAAACAGATCTTCCGGAGAGTTCACAGGGTTATTAGGGTTTTTTTAGGGGAGCGATTATAGTTTCCGATGGCAAATGGTGGCAGAAAGAGTCCGAAGGGTGTAATGTGGTCTTGAGAGAACATCAAGAAATTCTATTTCAGGAGCTCAGAATACACATAATTTACCAGTAAGATCGCTTGAATATCTCCCCGTGGCACAAGAACATTTCCAAATAAGACCAATGACCGACCCCAGATGAATAACTTAGCATGAAGCTTTAATTTATTTCCTGGCTCACCATTCCTTCTGCCCTGACTTGGTTAATGACCATGGGTCAGGATTCAGGTCATTTTTCCATGAGACCCGTGATTACCAAAACTAAGAATTCTGGCTAGGACACATGTTGTAAAGGATTGTACTTTGGCCTCAACTTCCTCCACATAGGAAAGGCTTAGAATTTATGAAAATAAGGGTCATTTTGACCCAGTGGTATCAAGTTCTTCTTATTCTCAGACAGCTACAAAAACTCATGGTCATGCCATAAATCCTGGCCTTCTCAGGACTGATGGGGAAACAGAACTTGCTTCAGGTGATGCTTCCACTTAATTGAAAGCCTCAGGTGAAGTTTCCACTTAACTGAAGACTTTACTCACCTCCTCAAGTGCACCAATCACCAAGGCTGTCTCCAGCGAAGCTCAGTATCTGCTGTGGATTTCTAAAGGACATCAAAAGCAGGAATCTGATCCCAGTGTTTCTTCCAGTTATGAAATGGAAAAAATGTTCTCTCTGTAACCTAGCCAGTCTCTCTCACTCAGGAGAGAAGAGAAATATATAAGTGCCTTGAGTTTTTCAGAGGATAATTAAAACCAAGTATCATACTATTATTCCTCTTATGTATAGGATTCAATACTAATGAACATTTATCAAAAAAAGTTCAAGTGATTGTTCCCTCTGCTTCCTCATTAATTTACTTCCCCTACCCTCCAATATTTGTCATTTTCTGGGTCTGGGCAGAAGGACTTGCTCCTGTGAAAGTCCCTTTACCAAGACGGATCCTCCCTGGAGTTACAACAGACTCCTAGGTGGTTTTTATGTAACTTTCTGTATTCAATCAAATCCAGTTGAATTCTGAGTTGCTTCATGAGTAAAAGGTCAATTTCCCATTAAATGATCACCTTTGCAAACTATAACTGTTAAGATGTATCTTGTTAATATTTGAAATCTACTATTTATTTTATTTAAAGGGTTTATCAACTTTTTATTCCCATACTTGTTAAGTATGAAAATATCATGCCCTTTTTAATGTCTCAGAATTTTCAGAATAAATATTATTACTAAAAAACAATGAAGATATTTATGGTATTGAGTACACTTTTTCAGTCTACACTTGCTTCACTTACCTGGAGATTCTAACATGACTCTCTGGAGTAAGCCAGGCCATTCTAGTGGACAATCTCTGATATAAAAAGTATTTTCGTTATTCTAAGTATTTTAAGGATGCCTTCCCAGCAAAGTACTGTGTTTTTCTGACATGTCCCTTTTCAGATATGAAGGCATTGCACACTTTGTAATTCTCAGCTTGTTTGTAATGCATTTTTGCTGGATGAGTAGGGCCTTTCATGATTCATGCTTTCAGCTGTGAGAATGTGGAAGGACATTTACAAATACTAAAGTCAGGGTCCATTTCTTTTGGAGAATGACCTGCTCACCCTTCAAAAGAGCCAAGGCAGACAGTGTCCCCTTGGCGAGAGAGACCCACCTGTGAACTGCCACCCTTCATTCACGGGGCCTTGGAATTGCTGATCATTTGTAACTATAGCTTCTTCCTTATATTTTTGTTCAGTTACCAGAATGTGACTTCAATAAACAAATATCTTCCAAAACTTTTGAAATTTTTTCTGCTTGCTAAATACTATGTTGTAAAGCTCCAATTACTAGTTCAAATCCAAACCTCAAAAAATAGATATGTGTTAGAGAAGGACTGGAAAAACCTTGACTCATTCAGAGGAGCAACAGGTAAAAGATTTCAGACTATGAAGTCTTGAGTCAAGAATAAAGGCACCTTGTTCTTTTCTTTAGCTTTTGAACTTGACTGAGGGAAGAATTCTAGGGCTGGTGATGAATCCTCTTGAGGTAGAACACTGGCATAGAACCAGTACAGCAACGGGATGTCCTATGACCAGTCTGCAGATGCTAATTCCCGCTTGGTCCTGCTCTGTTGTTTTCTTTAGAACATTCTTATAATTTAATGCATTTCCTATGCTCTCTCCCACTAAATAAGGCCATAGAATAATAATGTTATTTTGTATGGGGCTTGGTATCTAAGTAGTGAGAACTTATTAGCTGGTTCACTCCAAATCTTTGTACCAGAAAGCAGGAGGGAGACATAGTGCAAATGATAAAGAACTCTTTGGTTGCGTGAAAGACACAATTAGACACATCTGTCAGTCAGACGCCGAGGTATTGAAGATGCACTGGAGTAATCATTTGGTAGGTGGTAAGTACCACTGTTAGCTTGTTTTTATTTATTTATTTATTTTTTTAAAAGATTTTATTTATTTGACAGAGAGAGACACAGCGAGAGAGGGAACACAAGCAGGGGGAGTGGGAGAGGGAGAAGCAGGCTTCCCGCGGAGCAGGAAGCCTGATGTGGGGCTCGATCCCAGGACCCTGGGATCATGACCTGAGCCGAAGGCAGATGCTTAATGACTGAGCCACCCAGGCGCCCCTTGTTTTTAAACCCATTAGGCCAGAAGCAATTCTCACTCACGTCTTTTGTGAGATGTCTGTATCTGATGTTCAGGTATAATACCAAACCATATTTTTTTCAGAGTGTCAATCCGTATCTACAAGGACAGAGACTGGACAATGTGGTCGCCAAGAAGTCGGTCCCCCATTTTTCAGATGAGGATAAGGACCCAGAATAAAGTGAAGAACCCACATCACCCGTTAGGCCTCAGTACTGCTTATGCGCACGTGTGATTAGAGCCCCTGTGAATGGCAGCATGTTTCTAATCTAGATGAGTATGGATGAAAAGCAGCTGTATTTTAATACTGCATTGTCCTTCACACTGACAGCTCTGCTCTCTACTACTTTTTTTCTTTTTAAATGTGGATCTGCGATGAACATTAAAATTAAAGTGTATATATCAACAACAGCAAAAAGCAAGACTATGAATGAAATGTCCTCAGATATCTTGCAGTTTAAAATGGTGTTTTGGGCTGCACTCTTTTGGCAAAGTCTGTAAAAAGCTGGCATTTGATTTTGATTATGTAGTTCACCCAGCCCTTGGGCGTTGTTACACATCAGTAAAGAAGATTTTACTCAAGAGGAGGAACGGACACATTTCACTTGGCTACATCTTAATAAATGTGTATGCAAGCACTGGTGTGTGAAGCTTTTTATTTAGAGCATTATAAAAACAATTTATTTGCTTACTAGAACAGACTCACAAATATGATCTTATCTGATCTTAACACTAATACAGTGAAGTAAATGGGGGCTGGCACCATATCTCCGTTTTAAAATGGCGGGACCGAGACCCCTGGCTTCCATGAAAAGCTGGAACTGGTACCGTCAGTACCTGGTGACTGATGACTGAAGTCTTTGACTTTGAGTTATTGTGTTTATTCAGCAAATATTGGGTTTCTGCCCCGTGCCAGGCACAGGGCTGGGCTCTGTGGGCACATCGGGGACTCAGGCTGACACCACAAAGGTCCCCAGGCCGCAGAGCCTACAATCCAGGTCACAAAGCAGCTCTCGGTGAGCAGAGAGTAGGTCAGTCAGCTCCTCTCTGCTTTTAAAGGTTGGAGCAGCAGGTGCAGGCATGCGCTCCCCAGCCTGTTTTTTGTTTTTTAAAGATTACTTACTTATTTATTTATTTGAGAGAGAGAGAGAGAGAGAGCACAAGCAGAGGGAGAAGCAGGCTCCCAGCTGAGCAGGGAGCCCGAAGCGGGGCTCGATCCCAGGACCCTGAGATCATGACCTGAGCCGAAGGCAGACGCTTAATGACTGAGCCACCCAGGCGCCCCTACCCAGCCTGTTTCTGAAAAGGTGTGCAGTTTTCATTCAGCGGAGTCCTCCCAAGTCAGAAAGCTAATTCAGAAGAAGGCTGGCAGGATTCAGCGCACTGGTGAGATCATTCCCGTGCGCTCCAGCACTCTTCACTGTAAAGAAGTTACACGAGTTGCAGGCTTTGATATCACTGGCCTCAACTTCCTGGTCTATGAGAGGGAGACCGCAGTGAGAAGGCACTGAGGGAGAAAGATGGATCGTTCTTGGTTTTAATTTTAATGAGCGCACATTAAGTCTAAATGTCGGCAATTTATGGAATAGAAACAGCCTGACCGTCTTCAGTTAACGTGTGAGTCGTAATGATCAATTATAGAAATCAAGAAAGGCATTGGCACCTTTTTCGTAGCAGGAGACAATTTTCTAGAGAGTTCCTGCAGGCAGTTTGCCCACATTTCACAGCAGGATTTCCAAAGCAGCCTGGTCACCTGATTCCCAAAGATCATTCCCGTGTGTCCTAGAGCCCTGCGGAGCTGGGCTTACCCCAAAGGCAGACGCTTACCCCATGAATCTTGCGTTTTGTTGGCTTTTAGTTACGTTTCATACCAGTTTTAACTCTCGTAGAAAAACCAAAGGATATCTCTTCTTCTGAGATTGGACAGAAAAATGGCTAAAAGCAGATGTTTTGAGGTCATGAAGAAGGAAGTATAGGTGAAGCAAGAAGGAGGTAAGGTCACTGTGCCTGTGTTTCGCCCATTTGCCCCCAGATGCGTTCTGTGCCCTGTTCTCTGAAAGGCAGGCTGGGTTTCCAAGGCTCTCTTGTCAGCGGAGCTCTGCCCATGTTTAATGTGAGGTCACTGAGAGAAGAGTAGAGGGTGAAAGAATGGGAGGAAGCAAGGTATTGTGCTTTCTCTCCCAGTAGCTGCATCTTCCCTAAGGACCCATCTCCTGCTAGGTGAGCATGGTGTCCGGGCTCCAGTCATGTTGCCTCTTTCCCTGGTCCCTGGAGCATAAGGAGGCCATGGCTTCTGCCATATTGTTAATCCCCGGGTTATTTCACCCACCCCTGTATGGCTTCCTGGTTCTAACATCACCTGTGTAACCAGTTTTCTGTATTAAATTCCTTCTGTTTGAAATATTTAGTGTTTTCTGTTTTCCTTTTCCTTTTTTTTTTTTTTTTTAAGTTTTTTTTTTTTTTTTTGACAGAGAAACACAGTGAGAGAGGGAACACAGCAAGGGGAATGGGAGAGGGAGAAGCAGGCTTCCCTCTGAGCAGGGAGACCGATGTGGGGCTCGATCCCAGGACCCTGGGATCATGACCTGAGCCAAAGGCAGACACTTAACGACTGAGCCACCCAGGCGCCCCTAGAGTGTTTTCTGTTTTCCTGATTGGACCTTGCCTGATAGAGTCATCCATCGGGGGACTCAAGAATCAATCAAGTATTGTGAGAAAAATTTAGAACGACCAAGGTGGAGAACAGATAGGATGGTACTTCTTGATCGTTCATGTGAATATGATTCACTTGGGGATATTGTTAAAAATGCACACTCTGATGCAGTAGATCCAGGATAGGCCTTAGATTTTGCATTTATTTTAAGTTTCTAGGTGATGCTGATGCTACTGGTCCATGAACAACATCTGAGTAGCACAGAAATAGGGGAGTAGGAAAAGATAAATGGAAGTGGGTGAACTGCACCGAGAGACCAGCTTAACTTAGTCTGAATTTATAAGGACGCTGTCAGCATTGCCACTCTGAGCACCTTTGGAAGAAAAGCAGAAGGCAGACAAGAGTGTGAGCCCCGTGGTAGAACATGAACAAGTCAAAGATCCTAAATCCCCAGAGAAAGCAACACTGAGATGCCCCGGTATAGATTTGAGACTTTGTTATGGGATCGGGCTGAGACCAGTGATTTGAGAAGTCAAAAGAATGTAGGAAATGAGGTGGGCCAAAATAAAGTCAAGGAGTTGGCAGTTGGGGGCGGGGGGAAGCTGAGTTTGGATTCTTTTTTTTTTTTAAGATTTTATTTATGGGGTGCCTGGGTGGCTCACTCGTTGGGCATCTGCCTTCGGCTCAGGTCATGGTCCCAGTGTCCTGGGATGGAGCCCCACATCAGGCTCCCTGCTCAGCAGGGGGCCTGCTTCTCCCTCTCCCTCTTCCACTCCCCCTGCTTGTGTTCCCTCTCTCGCTGTGTCTCTCTCTGTCAAAGAAATGCATAAAATCTTAAAAAAAAAAAAAAAAAAGATTTTATTTATTTGTCAGAGAGCACCAGCAGGGGGAGAGACAGAGGGAGAAGCAGGCTCCCCACTGAGCAGGAAGCCTGACATGGGACTCGATCCCAGGACCCTGGGATCATGACCTGAGCCAAAGGCAGACGCTTAACCAACTGAGCCACGCAGGCATCCCTGAGTTTGGATTCTTGACAAAGGAAAATTTTCAAGTGACAATAAATGATGTCTCAGTTGGGACAACTATAAAAAAGTAGAATTGAGTGGAGTTAAAGACCAGTGGTCTTGAAGAAGTAGAAAAACCATGAGGTCAGGAAACAAAAGACAGAATCATCAATGTGAGAGGTAAAGTCTTCAAGTTAGAGAGGGGAAGGTCAGGGTTACCAAGGTTCTGTACAAAGTCAAAGCTGCACCACAAGCTTGTAGAGTGCAGAGTTAACCTGAGATCCAGGATATTCTGACACTAACTGGAATTCCGAATGCTGATGCATATATTTTTTTTTCTTCTTCTTATAAAGTTCTAGATTCTCAAAGGGATCTGTGACCCTCAAAAGGTTAGAAATCACTATCAAGAGTGGTGGTGTGAGCCACGTTGGCAGTCACTGAAGAATATAAAAGTTTGTCATGAGGGGCCCTTGAGAAAGAGAGGATGGAATAACTTCTCTCATGTAGATTTCAAAAAGAGATCATCATGGTCAATCATCAATGGCTTCTACAACAGTGGATGAAAAACCAAGGAGTCAATTCCTAATGGATAGATCAGGCCAGCAGCATCTGAACCCACTGGTAAATCAGATCAAAAAGAGATGGATATTATGTGCTTCCTGCTATGACTAATAAGAAGCAATGTCAACAAAATATTCTTTTTTTTTAATGTTATGTTAATCACCATACATTACATCATTAGTTTTTGATGTAGTGTTCCATGAGTCATTGTGTATAACACCCAGTGCTCCATGCAGAACATGCCCTCCTTAATACCCATCACCAGGCTAACCTATCCCCCCACCTCCCTCCCCTCTAGAACCCTCAGTTTGTTTTTCAGAGTCCATAGTCTCTCATGGTTTGTCTCCCCCTCCGATTTCCCCC